GGTGTCAGCAAGCGATCTGCAGCCAGCCTCCTGGGCAGCGAAGGCTCGGATGTCATCCAAACGCTCGGAGTCTCGTCGAGCAGATGCGAGCTCGACAATGATAGTAATCAAAATAATAATAATAATCCTAATAATAATAATATTAATAGTAATAGTAACAATAACAATACTAATTGAAAATAAAAATAGAATCATAACAATAAGTTGAGTGCTGTGTCGAAGTGAATGCTCATGTCCTGCAGGCATCGGCATCATGGACAAAGTCTTCACTCAGGTGTCCTGTGTGCAGTAGCGGCTTCACTTGGAGGAATTACCCTTCGGCTCTTCTGGTGCTTATAACTTTCGCTCTCTGAGCGGAGCCTTTCCTGCTCCGGTTGGGAGACCCAAGTTGGAGGAACCTGTTTGTCAAGGGGGAAGGTGGCAAAGTGCTTTTTAGCTTAAACTGCTCGTGTAGCATTGATCCAGGGTGAAGTGTAAGGGCCTGTGCCCAAAATCGACAAGCTGATGCCCCACGCCTTAAGGCCCCCTAAACCCTGGTTCTCATCCAACCCCGAGGACACATGGACCCAAACCCTGCCAAGCTCGCACGACCAGTGTTGCAGGGTGTCCGTTTAGGGTACCCTGAAATGCCACAGATGCCCTAACGATTACGAGGCCTCAAACCCCTGAACCCTAAACCCCAAAACTCAAACCCCTAAACCCTTCAAAAAAAAACCCGAAAAGCCAGCCCAAACCCTTTGTCCCTCGGCAGGCACAGGTGGGCAAGATCTATACGCAGGCCAATGTGACCAGGCCGGGCGTTTCTTTCCTTCCTTTGTTCAGGGGTTCTGGAGCTTTTGTGACTGGCTTCAGGGCCTTGAAAAGAGTTTGGTTTGTGGGGGGGTCTAGCATTTTCATGGATGGTGAACCATGGAAATTGAGGAGGTTTCAGAAAGAGTTTGAAATGACGTCGGGCACTGTTTACATGCCTAGCCACCCTGACAACCCCAACTCCTAGACTCCTTGGGGAGCGTGCGATGGGAATGATGGGAAAAGAAAAGCAGCTTGTGGTTTGGGATATAGGGTTTCGGGTTTACAGACACATGTTGCTTCTGCACGCGTGTTTAGAAGTTGGTGGACAATGATGCAGCAAGATCACAAATACCACATGCAGCTCGCAGGACAATGCCTGGGACAGGCTAAGCACTACTTAAACCCTGAACCCTGAACACCCTAAACCCTAAACCATATTGGATGTCAGTGTTTCGGTTTCGATGTGCCAGGCCGGAAGAAACTGAGGGATTCCAAGCAGCGTGGCCGCATTCTCGTCAAGAGATGGGGGGTTCCGAAAATTGGGGGGTACCCTTTTGAGGCTTCCTATAATGCTATTTTGGGGGTATGTTAAGGGTACCCCTATTTGGGGAAATGCCCATAGTGCATCCGGTAGTGTTGCGTGGAGCAGCTTGCTTCAAAGTAACCTTCACTGGTCACTTCCAGGCAAGCTCTGTCTTTGTTTCAGCGCAAAGCTCTTGAAGGTCATGTGCCGGCAACAGTTGGCCCGGTACCAGACTCTCAGTTGCAGCCAGTTTGCTGGGTCCGGGTGTTCACAAAACCCTGAGCCTAAACCCTAAACCGGCATCCCTACACTCTTCAACCCGACCAGGTTTGCCGAGTTCTTGCTTCGGGTGGCCCACGTCAAATGGCCGCAGCTGACGAAGGCAGGCGTGCTTACACAGCGTTGCACTGTATGTGGTGCTTACACAGCATTGCACTGTATGTGGGCAGTTCTCCCCTTTCCGGGTTCTTTTGTACGGCACCCTAGAGTCCCGCAGGGGAATCCCAATCCAGAGAGCTACCCATATCCCTAAACCCTACGCCCGAAACCCAAACCCCAAACCCTAAGCACAAAAAAATTGAACCCAAACCCTAAACCCTAAACCCTAAACCCTAAACCCTAAACCCTAGACCCTAGACCCTAGACCCTAGACCCGGAACCCTCAACCCTGAACCCTGAACCCTGAACCCTGAACCCTGAACCCTGAACCCTACCTAGCTGCTATGCCCAGTAAACGACTCAAAGCCGTGCTGCACATTCAGGTGGAAGCACTTGACCGCCTCTTCAAGGACTGCGTTGTATTTAGGGTGGCGTGGCATCTCGATTAGGGTTTAGGATTTAGGGTTTAGGGTTTAGGGTTTAGGGTTTAGGGTTTGGGTTCAGGGTTTAGGGTAGAATCACTCTGAGACAGGAGCTGGCAGTACAGTGCGAGAAGTATAGCACCAGCCTCAGTGGTGATCAGACCGGTGAGCCCCACACCTGCCATCAGACCTCACTGCCAGCAGCAGCTGGCGAAACCCTAAACCCCAAACCCCAAAGCCTAAACCCTAAACCCTAAACCCTAAACCCTAAACCCTAAACCCTAAACCCTAAACCCTAAACCTTGAGGCAGCGACATACGAAAACTCCTCGACTGCGGTTCGGATGATGTCGTGCAAGCCACCTTTGTCCGGATTCGCAGCTGCACGCCCCTTGCCTACTTGAAGATTGAGGGGTGGATGGAAGTTCGGTTAGAAATTATGCCCTGTAGCTACATGGTCTGCTTTACTTTGGGCTCCCGTACGATCCGTGAGCCATTCTGAGGCGGGCTGTATTCGATGGGATGGCCTCCGTTCATGAGACCAAGTGGATGCCCCAGCCAGGACGATGCGTCGGCACAGTTTGCATAAGGGCAATGCGCTGTTCTGTTCTCTGCTGCTTGCAAGAGAGCCTTCCGAAGATTCCCAATTCCTGCAAGTGTGGTACAGCACTGCCCAGCATGAAGTTGCTTTGAGGTATGGAGAGAAGCTGATGACTTTGGAGGACTGGAGAGTCTGGGCATCAATGAGGGTGTACACTGGGCGCCCCTCTGGACATATTCACTGACGGTAGCGCGGTAGGACAAGTGGCCATAGTTCACCGTACAAGATGCCGGATGCCATGACAATGCAGCCTCTAAACTCTAAGGCCCAAACCCCCACCCTCTCTGCGACCTGTCTGCGCCTAAGGACATCTCCTCAACAAAGCCAGTGTCTTTGAGCAGTTTCCCGTGATCAAGAGGAGTGCGTCTGTGCTAGAGAATGGATGCTTTGCTCTGTCACTTGTGGTGGTTGATCTGAGTTATGGGTCCATCTTCCCTTATAGCATAGAAACCCCAAACCCTAAACCCTAAACTCCATGTAACAGGAGGGAAGTCGGCTACACCTACCGAATGGGGCTTGAAACTCGAGCGGATGAGCAGCTTGTCTGCAAAGGGAGTCACGCCCCCCCCCCCCCCCCCCCCCCCCCCCCCCCCCCCCCCCCCCCCCCCCCCCCCCCCCCCCCCCCCCCCCCTCCCGCTGATATTGAATCTTCCCTGGATCCTGTGTCCTCTGAGGCAGTTCAACAGGACTTGGCAACTGCTGAGATTTGAAGACTTCGAGCGTGCCGTGGGTGCCGTCATCTTCCTGAACGAGATACGATCCAGGCCGAACGAGGACCGGCACGCTTCCGTCGGATGATGGGTTGTATGGGGCCTGGAGTGAAAATTAAGAGTCATCATGGTAAGAAATGATAATGCTAATGACCCTAAACCCTAAACCCTAAACCCTAAGCCCTAAGCCCTAAGCCCTAAACCCTAAACCCCAATGAAGTCCAGCAGTGATCCATCCAGAGGTTTGTTTGCCTTCGACCTTGGCTTCGAAGCTGGAGCCGCCAAGCTGCCCATTACTTCCTTTGCTGTGGTTTTAGCTTTCCTGTCGAGAGGTTTAGGGTTTAGGGTTTAGGGTTTAGGGTTTAGGGTTTAGGGTTTAGGGTTTAGGGTTTAGGGTTTGTGTCACCACAGCCCGTCGTCTGTCCATTTGCACCGGCTACGCCGTAGTGAGGGGGAAGACTGAAGTGCGGAGCCCTGAGGAAGTTCGCCGATGGGCATCTCAGCCCCTCTGCATGCAAGCAACATATTCTAGGGTTCTGAAGGGGCCTCAAGGGTTTAGGGTTTCGGGTTTAGGGTTTAGAGTTTAGGGGGAGGGGGCTTGAAGGGGGGGTATGTAAACCAAGGTTCCCGAATACTCCAAACTACTCCCTAAAACTCCCTAAGCTGCCCCAGGGTTCCCTAGGTACCTACCCCCCCCATGAACCCCCTCCCCCGAAGAGCCCGATCATAAAATCCAAACCAAGGCTCTTCGACACGCGCTGCAACATGCCTCTAAGTGCACAGGTGACCTGCGATTTGATGACCGATGCTGACTGTGAGCCCTGGAGGGTGTAGGATGCTTCCTGTGCCTTACTCCTTGGAGACCAAACGGAACCCCGAAATGGGATTGTAGACTGGTGTGGGGATTTGGGTCCACAAGGTTCCCTGAATACCAGGGCTCCGAGCAGCTTCCTAAAGGCTCAGGGAACTGAGTAAGCAGGCAAAATGCTTAGGGCGAAAGAATTGTGCAATCCACCTGCAACCTGAGATGTTACATGCGTACTAAGTTCCCTGAGCCTTTAAGTGGCACAGCAGATGCGAGTGATCCGCTTCGTCCATGGCTGAAAGCCATGGCAACCCCTGCGTTCCAAAGCTGAGAAGGCCGACGTGAACCCTAAACCCTAAACCCTCCACTGCCCTAAGCTACCCTAAACTTAAACTACCCCAAGCCCTGAACCCTAAACCCTAAACCCTAAACCCTAAATCCACCCTGCAAGCCCTAAACAAACCCTATGGTCAGGCGCTCCTCAAGCTTCGCGACTACGACGCCGCTGCCGCAGATGCGGCCTTGGTTCTTCAGCTGCGTGCGCACGACGCGAAGGCCAGGGTTTAGGGTTTAGGGTTTGGGGTTTGGGGTTTAGGGTTTAGGGTTTAGGGTTAGGGTTTAGGGTTCACGGTTTAGGGTTTAGCACTCTGGATCCTTGCGACCTTTTCTCTTAACCCTGTACGAGCCCGAAGCTCCGAAGCCCCAAACCCGACACTTCATGCCGTGCGTGCCTGCCTTCGTGGCTTCGGCAGGCTTGGTCTCGATATGTCATGGCTGCTGCAGGCCGAGAGAATACTTAAATGGTGGTGGAGGATCTGCAGAACAGAGTTTCGGAATTCGGGTTTTGAGCTTCTGTTATAGGGCCATTGGGGGGGTTTTAGATGTTGAGGCGTGCGCTTAAGGACCTTGGGTCCTTAAGATTTAGAATTGGGACGCGGTGCCATGAGCGGCACACTGCGTGAACTGTATGGACCTTAGAAGACTAAGATCCGAACCTCCACCCGGTAACCCCTAAACGCCACAATGCAATGTCTGACACTCTTTGCAAGGGCTAGCATACATCCACCTGCTGCACACTTGGGGCCCAAAGAGGGAGTGGAATGCAGTGTTACAGGGAACCGATCATATCCGCAGCGTAATGTTTTTTAGGACTTGGAGGAGGGCTTCTTCATCACTCCTTGGGGCTTGAAAGGGTTTAAGATACCCTAAACCCTGAACCCTAAACCCTAAACCCTAAACCCTAAACCCTAAACCTCTGAGAGGCTCATGAGCCCCAAGCCCTTGCACCGGATCCTCTGAGAAGTCGTCTGCCCTGATTGCCCTGGACCCTGGGCCCGAAGCCTACACGTGCCATACAGCCCAAACTCGGACTATTTGCTTACCAAAATCCCCAAACCTAGTAGTAGAGTAGGTAACCTTTAGTCTTTTTGGGGTACTTTAACCTTTAATTCCCCCAGGTTACTGGACAACTAAATAAAAAAAGGCCCCCCCCCCCCCCCAAGTAGCATCCCCTCACTGGCAGGCCTCGGCGCCCTCACTGTGGCCCAGCGAGCGGAGGAGCTCTCCGCCGGCCCAGAGAAGACCGAGCTCACAGAGGCTGCACAGTTTTACTTGGAGGTTCATGGGTTTGGCGGGGTTACTTGGAGGTTCATGGGTACTTGTAACCCCACTTATAACCCCAATTATAACTGCACTGATAACCTACTTGTAAGTACAGTTATATTTGGCCATGAACCTCCAAGTAGGACTTGGCCAGCGTGACGGAATCTGGAGGTATCAAGCGCCGTAAACGACAGCATTTGGAGATCTTGAGGGCTGACAGGAAGGAAGGAAGATGCGCAGATACAAACTGTAATAGTCAACCTCACCTTAACTTTGTGACATGAAGGCTTTTTGGTTTGATGACCCGAGCACACATGGTACGGAGAGGGCTTGCCGCCCCCTTGCTTCACTCTTCTACTAACTGCTTAAGAACCGAGAAAAGTAAGACATATCCTTCCTTATTAACTATTAGTCTTTTTGGGTTCCGAAGCAAATAGAAGTCGTTGTTCATATGCTTCATGCTGCCAGGTGGCACCAGGTCAAGCAAAGACCTTTGCTGCGTACGCCGCTATGACTATTCCAATCTGATGAATACAACTCCTCTGACTAGAGGTTTTGCAACACTTTTGAAAGTATGCTTGTCCGAGAAAGGAAACGCTGCAACCCCATTGCAAACGGCTTCTAGGGCCTTACATTCCCTACACCGAATTAAATCCTTAAACCTCGAAGTCCTAGTTCGCCCCAGTTCGAGGTGCTGGTGGACGATTGGAGGGTGGTCACATGCCGTGCGGCCACCTCCGCCACAGCTTTTGCCGCATCAGGCAAGGATCCCCGGTGCTCTTTCGAGTTTATGGAAGGCTGATGTCTACAAAAGAAGACATGTGGGTACCTTAGATGATCGGTTGCCTTACTTCTAACAGCCCATGAACCTTCAAGAACCCTTCCTTCTTCCTTTCGTGTATGTGCGCGTCCTACTCCACGGTCACCGGAACAAATACATTGCACAGTGGCCTGCATGAGACCTTGACACGCCCATGAAGGTCCCACCATCTCACGAGCAGCGCCCAATGCTGTGGCGGCAAAGCGCGCGGTAGAAGTTGCTAAGGTGGGCAGTCCTGGATGAACACGGTGTTTTCGGCTGTGCTGCTTTTCCTAAGAGTGTCACGGCGTAGCCGAGTGTAATTGCATGATAGAGTCTCCATGAGAGGCTACAACGTGCGGTAGGAATGGGAGGGCAGGACCAGAAGAGAGGTGTCTTTCTTGAGCTGTCAGGAGTCCGCGAACGCTGAGTGCCCCCAGCATGTGCAGCAACAGGTCGCAGCAACTGCCGCAGGCATGACTTCACCCAGAGGCTGTCTTGAGGGTTCAGAGGGTTCTTGTGAGGTACAACAAGCAGAACTACGGCCCTGCCGTGGAAGGCTGCCTCTGCTCTTCGCAAACATAGCAGTAGTAATCAGCAGTATATGGATATATGGGTATTTCCCAGAATGGGGGTACCCCTTTTGCCCCTAAGTAGAATAGAATCCCCTTGAAGGGGCCTTTTTTTTTCGGAAACCCCCATATAGTAAAAGTCGGAAAGCTCACATATACCCTGGGGTGTGTGCCAGGCTACACCCAGGCAACTGCCTCGGATCCTTGTCTCGCGGACGTGGCCGCCATCTTCAGCAACTTGGCGCACTGCAGGTCGGGCCTGTGAGAAGCGTCATGCGGGGGCTTACGATATTAGAGGGTACCCTATAGGGGTCCTTAATTATTATCATAGGGGGATCCTACTATCTGGGGGATCTACTTTTAGGGGTCCCTATTTACGTAATCCTCAATGATCCCAATGTGGTGTTAGCCACATGTCGCTGCATCTCGTCTGCAGGCTGTGCTTGGGCCAGCCACACTGCGGGATCCTCAGTCGGGGGCTGGACAATGACGTGATCTTGATGTGAGCCGAAGTCGAAACTGCTCGCGCATATTATCCCCAAAGAGGGCTTCTAGGTCAGGAACCTTATATGGAGTAGCAAGGGGGGCCTTCAACTTACGGCCCGCGCGACCACACCCTTGAGAGGGACAGCCGTTCAGATCTGCGGCCCAGGTGCCCTTGCCGCAGCCGTCTCCTGCCTCCGGCTCAGGCCTTCCTGGACAGTGGCTGTGAAGGCCCGCCATTTTCCCCATCCAAGAAGTTCTGAACCCGAGACCCTGCTTGTAAAAGCTTACAGAGCGGGAACAACACGAAGCGACGAAGGGAAGAGGCATAAGACAAACCTCTACGGCCCCTACCAAATCACAGGAACACGAAGCCGGGTAAATCACTAGCCCCGCATAGTACGAGCACGGAGCAAAGGACACATGACAATCATCTAGATGATCCCCAAACCCTACAAGCACGAAGAAAGGAGACATACGTCAAACCTGCAGGGCCCTCACAAAACCCTTACAACACAAAGGGACGAAGGGAGGGGACATAAGACAAACCTCTAGGCCCCTAGAAAATCACAGGAACACGAAGCGGGGGGACAGACGACAAACCTCTAGGGCAGTCAATAGCCCCTCGTAGTACGAGCACGGAAGCAAATGGTATATGACACTCATCTAGACGCTCCCCAAACCCTACAAGCACGAAGAAAGGGGACATACGACAAACCTCCAGGTCCCTCACGAAGCCCTTACAACACGAAGGAACGAAGGGAGGGAACAAACGACAAATCTCTGGGCCCCTACCAAATCACAGGAACAAGAAGCGGGGGGGACCAACGACAAACCCCCAACGAAACAAATATATAACGAAAGGGGACATGCGACAAACCTTCAGGGCCCTCACAAAACCATTACAACACGAAGGGACGAAGGGAGGGGACACATGACAAACCTCTAGGCCCCTACCAAATTACAGGAACACGAAGCGGGGACAAACGACAAACTCTAGGGGAGTCACTAGCCCCTCAGAGCACGAGCACGGAAGCGAATGAGATATGACAATCATCTAGACGCTCCCCAAACCCTACAAGCACGAAGAAGGGGACATACCACAAACCTTCAAGCCCTCACCGAAGCCTCATACCACGAAGGGACGAAGGGAGGGGACAGACGACAAACCTCTAGGCCCCTACCAAAGCACAGGAACACGAAGCGGGGGGACATACGAAATACAATCAGGAATAACCTGAGACCCACCCAGCCCTCATGAAAGGAGGCCCTGAACCTAAAGCAGCGCCCCAGCCCCGAAGTCCGAAAAGACCGCCTGCGTAGGCCGCACGCCGACTGGCCGCTGCGCTTGCCAGCACAGGCCAGCGCAGGCTTTAGGGTTTATAGGTTCCGTGATTACAAGACAGTTTTGGAACTTAACTGGTTTAAGCAGCAGTTGATGTGGTGCGACGAAGATTGCGATCGTACTCGCTGCAGGGGAGCTTGACGCGGCACGACGAGTGGCCAATGCGCTCCGACCTCGGCCCTGTGTACCTGCGTGTTTTGAGCATGGACTCACGGGGCCGCTGTAGGCCGATGTAGGGTTCGGGAGTTTCGGACGTTAGTTTGAAGAAGTGATGGCTAAAGCCATGGCCATCCGGCTCGGCTATTCTAGTTTTTGAGTTTCGTCTGCTGGCGTTGGCGCTGATCAGCCAGACAATTTTTGAGGTTTGACAGCGCCACGGTCGATGACGCCGCTCGCCCTGATCTTCTGCGCACGCTTATGCGCGCTTCATGCATTTTCCCACTATTTGATGCATTAGTTTTTCTTCTGATCTAGCGCAGATGGCGCGCCCAGGTGCCGGAAGCCGTCCGGAAGCAATGCGCAGACGTGGTCGGCAAGCTGGACCGGCATGTTGAGGCCCTCGCCCAGCTGGAGAAGGGAGGCCCGGGCGGCGACGAAGGCCTCGGCGACCAGCTGCCGGGCAGCGAGTGGTGCGCCCCGGCTTTGGAGGCCAGTGCAGGCCGGCTGCGCGTGGCGAGCCCCTTGCTGCGAGGGAGCTTGCTCTTGCTGGTGAGACCCTTGGGTGGCCTGGCGCAGGGGATGCATGGGTGGAGCACCGGAGAAAGAGCGAGAGCCCAGATCTGCTCAGATGGGGCAAGCCTACATGACAGGCTATACCACATCTGCAACACCGACCTTGCAGCCAAAGAAGTTGCACGTCTACTTAGGGCCAACATCGTCCCAACCATCACCCATCCCCAGGCGCTGCTCCTCTGCAGCCCCCGGGCGCAGCTCCTGCCTCTCCTGGGCCAGCGCTCGGACTCGTTTTTCCGAAGCTTCGCCACCTCAACTCCCAGCCTCTTGGGTGGCCTCCTGGAGGAGCACCGCGTGGCCTTGCCGAGCCCCTTGGAGTCCTGCGGCCTTTTTCCCGCGCTGGCGCTGATCCCCGAAGCCGACTCCGAGGCGGCCAACTGCGAGATACGCGTTCAGGCTGGGGAGGCCCTGGCAGCCGGGGGCTTACTTGGAGGTTTATCACCCACTTATACGCCCCTTTAATCCAATAATATGGTTCTAAGTACAGTTATAAGTGCAGTTATAATTGGATAATAAGTACCATGAGCCTCCAAGTAGGATCAGAAAGAGTAAGGCCCCTGGCCTGGTGAACCTGTACAGCCCTGCTCTGTTCACTGCTTGCCACTCTTCGACTACAGTTCTCGAGATTATGGTCCTAAATATGACAAGGATTCAGGACATAAGGCTCGAAACAGGGGGCCATACTTTAGAGAACTCTACAATGAGAATCGATACCCCAAACCCGACATCTGGTTCCCATCCGCACCCCCCAAGTTCAGGTGCTGGCAACTGAAGATCTGAAGCCGGGCCAAGACCTGCGTCTGTTCCGCATGGACAAAAATGGGCGGAGGGAGGAGGTCTTAGGCAATTGTCCGGGGTGGATCGCGGCTACTGGGCCTTGTTTTGCTTTCCGACAGGTCCCAGCATGGTATATATATATATATATATAGAAAAATAGATGCCTTATGCAGTTTCGGGTGCCGCACAAGGGCCCTTAAATTTAGACCAGCCCCCCCCTCACCCCCTCGCTCATTTTGGCAAGCCCTCGCCTGCGAGAGGCGACTCCACACTATCTCTGCCAGAAGCGGTGCAAGGCGCCCGCTCTCTTCCTTGAGGCTTCGGATCTCGGAGTGGGTTCACGGCACGATCTACCTGAAGTACCCTTCTTGGTACCCACTAAACTGCTTAAAGTAGATTAAAAAAAGACCCCCCAAAAAAGCACCCGTAGATACCTCTTGTTTCATGGTGAAGGGTTAGGGCCTATAGGGGCCTCGCCGAGCTCGCAGGAGGCTCAAGCGGCCCTCGAGGACGCGGCGCGACGCATGATGACTTCCACCAAGGCCCTGGAGCCCAAACCCTAAACCCTAAACCTGAGAAACCCTGTTCTGCTTTGTCTACCAGGTATAGGAAACTTTAGGGCAGATACCGGATGGGCTAGTGGGCCCTATAACCCTCATAAAACAGCCCAGTAAAAGGGTTATGAGGTCTATAATCATAAGCAGCCCCCATGTTGGCCTTGTTTTGAAGAGGTTTTATAAGAGTTACAAGGTCTAACCATAAACAGGCCCAATGTTGGCCTTTTTTTTGAAGGGGTTTTAGATGGTCATACATGGCCCATCCTCGTTAAACCCTAAACCCTAAACCCTGGATTGCTTGCTGCAGGAGGAAGTGGATGCGCTCACGTCGCAGTACGCCGATGGCCTCCGCGACTTCCAGGCGCGCGCCCAAGAGAGAGAGAGAGAGATCCTCCCCCTAGAAGCCAATGCGAATCTTCTGCTTTCAGGGTTTAGGGTTTGGGGTTTAGGGTTTAGGGTTTAGGGTTTAGGGTTTAGGGTTTAGGGTTTAGGGTTTAGGGTTTAAGATCATCCCAACCTTTCCCAACATTCACAATGTAATAACATATGAGCAAGCGCCAAAAACCGCCAGCCATTCAAGTAGGCAAGGGGTGGACACGAATGCCGAGAACCCTGCAAAGACATGGGAACACCTGAAAAGCGCACCCCTAAGTTAATGAAACGTTGTGGGGGCTATAACCTGGAATTTTCCCAAAAGCGACACCTTCAGACGTCAAGCGTAGACAGCTGATGCGAACACCCTGTAAAGCGATGGGAACACTTTAAAAGCGACACCCCTCATTTTGCGTCCATTAGCACCGCCAGCCGGCTATGTATAGCTGCATATTTCAATATGTAATTCTACATTTAGAATAACAACAATAGAACAGTACATAGCATAAACTGATATATATATATATATATATATGTATATGTATATATATATATGTATATGTATATATGTATATATGTATATATATATATATATGTATATAGATACTAGCAACGATAGAACGGTACATAGTTTTGCGATTAAAACACATGCATCTGTTCGTCACTTACCCCGCGGAGGGTGTAATCATGTGCCCCCGAAGGCCGCCAGGGCCGAGCTGGACAAGCTGTCGTCGCATGCGCACGTGCGCGGCTTGGAGCTTTGAGTCTTGTGTTAGGGTTTAGGGTTTAGGGTTTAGGTTTTAGGGTTTAGGGTTTGAGGTTTAGGGTTGTAGGGTTGCAGGGTTCATAGGGTTTCTTAGGGCTTGTATCGCTGACGTTTTGGGGTTCACAGGCTACATAAGGGTTCATAAGGCCTAAGTTCTAGGGCTTAGGGGTCTTTAAGGGATCTCGGGGCTTTAGAGGCTTCAGGGGTTTTAGGGGTTCCTGGCGGGTTTTGGGGTGTTTGAGACTCTGGGTTGGTGGGTTTGGGCTTCATTTGGTTTGGGGGCCTCGCTCCCTTGAGGATTTGGGGCCCAGGGGTGCTGAAGGGTTTTTTGGGCATGACTTTGCGGGCGACGGAAGCTCTACTGCGAATTTATAGACCTGAAGCGACCTTGCAGATCCACCCGTCGAAGAACTCCCCCGCCGCAACAACCCTGAAACATAAAGTCCCTAAACCTAAACCCAAACCCAACAAAACCCTGTAAACCCCAAGCCCCGACAACCCCCCCCCCCCACCCCCCCCCCCCCCCCAACCCCCCCCCCCCCCAACCCCCCCCCCCCCCAACCCCTCCCGCCCAACCCCCCCCCCCAACCCCCCCCCCCCCCCCCCCAACCCCCCCCCCCCCCCCAACACCCCCCCCCCCCCAACCCCCCCCCCCCAACCCCCCCCCCCAACCCCCCCCCAACCCCCCCCCCAACCCCCCCCCCCCAACCCCCCCCCCCAACCCCCCCCCCCCAACCCCCCCCCCCCCCCCAGCAAAAACCACCCTAAGCCCTCAGACCTAAGCCCTAAGCCCTAAGCCCTAAGCCCTAAGCCCTAAACCCTAACCCTAAACCTAAACCCTAGACCCTAGCCCTAAACCCTAAACCCTAAGCCCTCCTCTGTTGTTGGGAGTCCTGGGCTCCCCTTCACCTCGCAGGCGCCGACGCCGGCGGCCTTGGCGGCCGTGCGGCCCTACTTCGAAGCGGAGGCTCTTTCTGGGCTTTGGGTTTAGGGTTTTAGGGTTTTAGGGTTTTAGGGTTTAGGGTTGAGGGTTTAGGGTTTAAGGTTTAGGGCTTAGGGTTTTAGAGGTCATAGGGTTTTTAGGGTTTATAGGGTTTATAGGGTTTATAGGGTTTATAGGGTTTATAGGGTTTATAGGGTTTAGGGTTAAGGGTTTAGGGCCAGGGTTTAGGGTTAGGGTTTAGGGTTTAGGGTTTATAGGGTTTAGGGCTAGGGTTTAGGGTTTAGGGATTAGAGATTTAGGGTTTTAGGGTTAAGGGTTTGGGGGTGTTAGGGGTTAGGGTTTTAGCGTTTCAGGGTTTCAGGGTGTAGGGTTTATGGATCTAATTACGATGTTGGGGTCTTGGTTTTGTCTATCGGTTGTCAGGGTTTCGGGGCTTTAGGTTTCAGGAAAGTGTCAGGGTTTGAGGCTGAGCCCTAAACCCTAAACCCTAAACCCTAAACCCTAAACCCTAAACCCTAAACCCTAAACCCTAAACCCTAAACCCTAAACCCGAAACCCGAAACACTAAACCCTAAACCCTAAACCCTAAACCCTAAACCCTAAACCCTAAACCCTAAACCCTAAACCCTAAACCCTAAACCCTAAACCCTAAACCCTAAACCCTAAACCCTAAACCCCTAAACCCTAAACCCTAAACCCTAAACCGCGAAGAGGCGCTTTTTGCAGTTTCGGGTTTCGTGCTTCCGGCCACCGCAGGATGAGCACCGCGAGCAGCTTGCTGAGGAGGAGTTGCAGGAGCCAGCCCTAAAATAACCCTGTGTTCTACTCTATGAACCCTAGACCTTAAATTATACACCCTGAACCCTGAACCCTAACCCTAGACCCTAAACCCTAGCAAACCCTAAGCAAGTCGTCAGCCAATTGTCTTGCACCTGCTCAGCAACGATATGCAAAGAACTCTACCCAGGAGGCAAAGCTGCGCCAGAATGTCGCTCAGGCAAGAGCTCTGCAACCCCAAGCACTTGAGGGTTCAGGGTTTGGGGTCTGTGTCTTGTTTTTTTTTTTTTTTTTCGGGTTTAGGGTTTAGGGTTTAGGGCCAGCTCAAGAGTTAACCCCCCTAAACGCCATAAGACAGAACACCCTGAAAACCTGAACCCTCTAAGGGAAGTTACATCGGCCCTTGGTTGTTTTCGGGTATATAAGGGGTATATGAGGGTTCCCGACTTAAGGGGCCCGTAGTTCTGTAAGGGACCATGTGACCACCCTAGGAAACCTTCAGACCCCCATAAGCCCTAAAAATTCTTAAAAAAAACCTATAATCCCTGTAAACTCCCAAAACCCTAAGCTTCCAATCTGGAGGCCAAGCTGCGATATCACAGTGAGCTCCGGAGTTTGGAGGCTTTGAGCAACCAGGCTTCGGCGCGCCAAACAGAGTTCTGGGGGGAGGTTTACGAGCTGAGGGTTTGGGGATTGGGGCTTGCTGCGATATGGCGCAGAAGGTTTTAGGGTTTTAGGCACGTCCCAGGTAGGTCCGGAGGGTTCAAGGGGGTCTCAGTGCCTTGCCCCAAGCACCAAAAGGTTGGGGGCTCGGGATTTACGTGGCTTGATCGTGTTCAAGGAGTTTATAGGGTCAAGTCAAGAGCGGTTATAGAGGTTTATAAGGGCTGAGCGGGCAGTGGTTGGTCCTCGACGGCCGTGGTGAGACTGCGGATGATCAAGGAAACCCCAAGAACGGCAGAGTGCTTCCTGCATGACTTGTTCCTTATTCCTTGCAAGTGAGTTTTTCGAAATTCCGTGGAATTTCTTGGTTGTAGATGGGCGTCTGCAAAATCCTGGATCCACCAATATATTCGCAGACCTCAGTAGCTATCATTAGGACCCCGACCGCCGGTCCCTTAGACTTAGCTTTGGGGTCCCGTCTTGCGAGATCACTTCGCGGCAAGCGCTCGCGCAGGCGCATCTGCGACGCGCATCCAGCGGATTTGTTGACGCCGTCAGTCGCACCGCCAGTGGCTCGGAGAACCCGACCATGGTGGCACTGCCTTGCTTTTCCTTGGGAACTGAATGAACTCTGAAAGGGTTTCTGGTCCATATGCATTCATAGGGAGTAGAGTAGTATGGGGTATATGACCCCAATTTCAGGGTTCATCTGGTCCTCAAGGTTGACATGCCCCCGGACATTGCAGGGCAGCACCATTTGCATCAGGTCTCTAAATCTGGGGTTCCTTCCGTGTGAGGGCGCGGGGCGATAGGAAACAGGGACCCGTCAAAGCCAGGAGGTTCGCTCAGAAAGGGCAGTTAAACGGCAGAGAATACCCCCCCCCCCCCCCCACAGAGGCTGCACGTCCCCTCCACCACCAGCGCCAGGAGAGAACTGCTTCGCAGTCCTCCGCCACGCGGCGGACTCCCGTCCAGACCCCGGAAGGAAGGCCCCACTGTCCGAAGGTTGTGTTTAAGTACTGCCCCAAAGCCCCAACTTACAAGTGAGAGTTGAACGTTGCGAATTTTAAGCCTTCAACAATATGTTGGGTAGCATAGCCCCTCAACTTTCAATGCAGGTTGTTGGGGGTGAGCGAGCAATTCAACAAACACGAAAAGCCTTCATTGCCACCCATGAAAATGTTAGGGTCCAGGGCTTAGGCGTTAGAATCTCAACCTCTAAACCCTGAATCCCCAGACCCTATCAACAAATCCGTACACAAGTCTCAACCTCAGAACTCGACGGGAGACGGCATTTGATCGCTGAACCCTATAACCCCTAGACCCTAAACCCCTTAGAGCCTATCAATAGATGTCTTAACCAGGATGGGCTATTAGGCCTTCTAATCCCCATAATCAACCCGATAAAGAGCCTTTTTGAGGGGTTATGGGGTCTAATGGCCCAACCTGGAAGGCCCTAAACCCGAAACCCTAAACCCTAAACCCTAAACCCTAAACCCTAAACCCTAAACCCTAAACCCTAAAGGGTCCGGGGCAGGTCTGCCCCGTCCTTCGGCCGGCCGCTCCGCAAAAACTCGCTGGACGCTGCTCAGAGGCATCGCAGGGATTCGCAGGGCCCGGGCTCGGGTGCATGAGGTGGGTGTAGGGGTTTGGGATGGTTTAGGGGGTTTAGGGGTTTTAGGATTTATGAGTTTAGGGCTTAGGGTTGGAGTTTAGGGTTTAGGGTTTATAGGGTTTAGAGTTTAGGGTTTAGGGTTTGAGGGTTTAAAGTTTAGCTAAGGTTTGCAGCTTCTTGTCGACGGTAGTACAGTGTTGCTTTGTAAAGTCAGGCGTCACTTTGGGGGTTGCGGAGGCGTTTCAGAAGGCAGCCACGGCTTCACGAATAAGTGTCCTTGGCATGTGGTTTAGGGTTTAGGGTTTCGCCTTCAGGCACAAGGACCAATGCGCTGGGACCACGAAGTGGCAAGGCCCGAGGGGGGAGGGTGCCTGGGGCATCCGAGGATACAGGTTGTTTTGTTACGTTGGGTTTGGTGTCTACTCATAGACCCCCACCCCAATGGTGGCTCCATGTCCCTTTTTGGGGTACCCATTGTTCTGTTTGCACTTCCCCTTGTTAAAGAATTAGGTGTAAGCAGCTACATTGCAATTAGGGGAATCTCGAGCCTCTGATTGTGCAGGTCCTGTGCCGCGGCAGCTCACGGTCAAGAAGGCTCCCCCCCCCACAAAAAGCGCAACTTCAGGCAACATTTGCAGGTACTTTAGGATGTTCCCTCTTATACTAACAGCTCCTTAATAGTCACTATAAGAGGTGGTACTGTAATCCCTAGTAAGGGCTGTTCGTATAAGGGGGAGCATCCCAAGCAGTGCCCGTAGCTCGTGCACCTTCCACGCTTGAAAATAGAAGGGACCCTCAACCCAACACCCCTGAAGCCCCAACTTTCCGGTGTCAAGATATGGGGGTTTCCGAAAATAGGGGTACCCTTTACTTTGGGGGTCCCTTGAAGGGGATTCTTATTCTATTCGGGGTATAGAACGGGGTACCCCTATGTTGGGAGATGCCCGTGTGTGGAGGATGTTCTGGAAGAGCTGGAGCCAACAGAGGCGGAACAGACTGAGAGCCAAAGCCAAGCAGCCGCGGAATCGGGCGGTTGAAAAAGAGCTACATAAGAACCCCCCCAAAATAGCTTCCTTAAAAGGAGCTACATTGACATAAGAACCCCCCAAAAAATAGCAGAGTCTTCTTCCTTATAAGGGCAAGAGAGGGATTTTTGTGGCGGGGTCTTAACCAAATAGTAGAAGAGGCGTGCAGCTCTCTGCAGCGCTTTGCTCCACATCCATGTGTGACCCTGCGAAGCCCTGCCCAAACGGCCAACTCCCCATGAAGCCCTGGAGCGCTTGAAGTGTTTTTAAGTTCAGCAAATGGGAAACCCAAAAAACGAACCCCATCCGCCCAAGCGCTTCCTGAACAGCCCTCTTGCAGGCCCCCGCCACCCCCAACAAAACCCAACCAAGCCCGACATAAGCCCCAGAGCCCTATCAATCCGACTAGCCCCATGAACCCCAAAGGCCTCCAAAAAATGCTATCATCAACCCCCTAAACCCTAAACCCTGAACCCATGAACCCTGAACCCTAAATCCCCGAGATGACTTCCGGCAGACTGGCTTCAGGGGCCCTTAGAGGGCTGAGGGGAGGGGCCTTGCCTTCGCCCTCCCAGCTGGGGGGCCATGGTCAGGCCGGTGCTTCTGAGATTGTTGGCGGGGGAGGGGGGGTTTTGGGGTTTGGGGTTTAGGGTGCAAGATTTAGGGTTTAGGGTTTAGGGTCTAGTATCTAGGGAGGGTTTAGGGTTTAGGGTTTAGGGCTTCTCATGGTGGGGTGGGGGGGGGGGGGGTGGTTGCGGGTTTAGGGTTTGGTAGGGTTTCGGCCTGGAAGGTTGGTTTTGTGCGAGGCAGCCTGCATCATCATAGCCAATATAGACCCCTTGCCCGAAACATAGAACTACCCCCTCCCCCTCCCCCCCCCGCCCCAATGAGACCTCAAAGCCCGAAACCTAGATGCGCCCTTGTGTTGTGAAGCCTTGCGGGTCCATGGAGCGACTTGCTGTGTTGTCAACATTGCCAGCGCAGTGGATTGATTTAAGCTCAAGGCTGTGTGTGTGTTGTTTGCATACTCCTTCTCTTTGTGGCCATGGCCTCGTCATGCTTGCCAGCGCTGCAGCAGCAACAGCTCGCGGAGAGCGCACCTCGGAACGGCACAGCAGCATAGGAACAGACGGCTTCACTCATGATCTGCAAAATTGCAAAAGGAGTTGAGGATGCATGAATAGAGTCTGTTGAGTCACAGCCGAGCACACACCGATACCGGAAGTGAGGACTCCGATGATGAGTTGTTGCTGTCTACCGCTGCGGACCTCAGTGAGGTGCGGGTGCTGCAGTGTGTAAGGCAAACATGGATGGGAGCTTGTTTTGGAGCACGATGCGCAC